CTCCTCTTCCTGGTCGTCCTCGTTCTCGTCCTCCTCGTCTTGCTCGTCCTCCTCCTCCTGGTGTTCTCTCCTCCTCCTCCTCCTCCTCCTCCTCCTCCTCCTCCTCCTCCTCCTCCTCCTGGTGGTCCTCGTTCTCCTCCTCCTGGTACTCTCCCCCCCCCTCCTCCTCCTCCTCCTCGTCCTCGTCCTCCTCCTCCTCCTCCTCCTCCTCCTCCTCCTCCTCCTCCTCCTCCTCCTCCTCCTCCTCCTGGTACTCCTCCCCCTCCCCTCCTCCTCCTCCTCCTCTTCCTGGTCGTCCTCCTCCTCCTGGTCGTCCTCCTCCTCCTGCTCGTCCTCCTCCTCCTCCTGCTCGTCCTTCTTCTCCTGCTCCTCCTGCTCCTCGTCCTGCTCCTGCTCGTCCTCGTCCTCCTGGTCTTGCTCGTCCTCCTCCTCGTCGTGCTCTTGCCCCTGCTGAAAATGTGGCCCAGGAATGGGAGTTCTGGGAAGTCGAAGAGCACGAAGTTGCCTGCAGTTGGCTACGGGCATTCAAAATGTGGCCCGGGAATGGAGTTCTGGGAACTCGAAGAGCACGAAGTGGCCTACAGTTGGCTCCGGGCATTCAAAATGTGGCCCGGGAATGGAGTTCTGGGAACTCGAAGAGCACGAAGTGGCCTACAGTTGGCTCCGGGCATCCAAAATGTGGCCCGGGAATGGAGTTCTGGGAACTCGAAGAGCACGAAGTGTGTGACTGTTGCATCCGGTTATTCTAAATGTGGCCCGGGAATGGCGTTCTGGGATGTCGATGAGCACGAAGTGTGTGACTGTTGCATCCGGTTATTCAGAATGTGGCCCGGGAATGGCGTTCTGGGATCTCGAAGAGCACTTTGTGTGTGACTGTTGCATCCGGGTATTCAGAATGTGGCCTGGGAATGGAGTTCTGGGAAGGCGAAGAGCACGAAGTGTGTGACTGTTGGTGAAAAACGAGCCCGGCACCCTGCCGCCCGGCAACTCCCAACACCTGCCCGGACCCCCCTGTGGAGTGATCTGCTGCTCTCTTTTGATCCCACTAGAAACCTATCAGTCTTCGCTGTTAGGTAAAAACGGCTCGAGACCCCTCTGATAGAAGTATGGGAAGCCAGGCGCAGCATTTGGATGGCCAATGAAATCGCCCGTGCTCGGGCGCAATCATATCGTCTCACCTGCAGTGATAATCTGGCATGCGCTCTGAATGATCCGCTGATGTTGAAACCTGACATCTTCCTCCAAGTAGAGCAAGGGCAACGTATCCAGCATGATGTCCCGCGATACACTAGAAAGGGCATGTGTCGCATCTTCGTTGACGATCACGCGAGAATAGCCCTGCCTTTGCAGTCTCCATGAAGTACAGCATTGAGTTAATATTGCATATTATCGCCTGCGCTTCTTTGCAAAACCATGGCATACATAAGGTAGTGGTTCGCGATGCCGCCGAGCTCTGACCCACAAGTGCGAGTCCCACGCCTTGCCCAGAGGGCAAAAAAGGTGGATCCATCTTTGACTTTCAGCGCCTGGTCTCCCGTTGCGTTTATCCAGTCCACAGCCAGCTGACACATCACATACAAGAGGAGTTGCTGATGTCCTTCGAAAGCAAGCGAGCAGGTCAAACAAAACGCTCGCTGAACGCCTGAGCCGATGCTGGTCGCAACTCAGCTCCCAACCCACCTCCGCGAAATTTGCCCCAGCCTTCCTCGCCCAACAATACAGGCCAGAGCTCAGAGAGACCGTGTCGGCGTAGCCCGTCTTATTGGAGTTTTCTTAGCTGTCGAATAATCCCAATCATACCTTGTCTGGCCGCGTCCATGTGCTCGAACTGCATAGCGTTATAACGCACCTCATCTGAAGCGCCGCATCCGTCGGCGCGAGGGCGGTCGAACCTCCCAACAAGTTCAGCCCGAAGGTCGCGCCGAGAGGCGCCAAGTCCACCAGCCGTAGCGGGGCGACACAGAAACTCCGAAATATCCTGGGCTTCGCTGTTCTCGGACTTCCGCACGACATACTTTCTGCGTCGGGGCCCCGCTCCTCGCTTTGGCAGACGTCGTCTGATTCGCTGCACGTTGAAGTGGTCGTGCGCTTCCCATGCCTCGTTAAACTCAGCCGTGAGAGACGCTACTCTTTCTTCATTGATCAGCTTCGAGAGATGACGTATGCGAAAAGTCGTTCGGGCCAACAGAAGTTCCAATTCCCTCTTCTGCTCCAGACCCCCCCCCCCTCCCCCACGGGAGGAAAAGGTGGCCCCGAGGGCCTAGGCGCCTCCGCGCTCTGGCGAACAACCGACAAACCAAGCAGATCATGGTTCAGAAAAGATCCATTGCGCTTGCCTCTGAACCGCTTCCGCTCACGAAGTAAAGAAGAGCGTTCCCTTTCCAACTGTGATAGCTCGGTCTCCTGCTGCGACTTCTTAGAAACAAACATCCTGTGCCGAGGCGACCATGGGACTCATCGCAGAGTTCCACGCCTCGTCCACGGTCGCCCTCGAGCACGATCGGATCCACTCCTCCTCAGGAATCGTGCAAATCGACTCCTTGCATCGCCTCGATCGACGCCGTGCAAGACGGGCGGCCCGTCAACAATCTCATGCTCCGATCGTAATCCCAAGCCGGTTTGCGCTCACCAAACTGCGCCTGGAAATCGCACTTACATTCAATCAAAATGGGTCGATGCTCGCGGTCATCGAGTATAGAAATCGGTCGCAATCGTCGACCACCCCATGGAGAATGACACATCGTCGAACGTGCTGCCGAAGCTGCTGAGGTATCACCAGGAAATCAATCCGCGACGTGGAAGGGCCCACCCCAAAGAAGGTCGGGCCAAGCGGCATGAAGGTATTAATCGCGCACATGTGTGTATCCACTAGTAGCTGACGAAGTGCGCTCCCCGCGACCCCTTCGGGGTCCCTATCGTAAGGTCCAATGCACGTCCAATCCTCCACTTTCTCGTCCTCAACAGGGATCGTGTCGCCTTCGAAAGCGTAGTCCCGAGCGTTGCCCAAACCGTCGTTCAGGTCCATGCCTAGAACAGGTGTACAACGCCCACCAATATATTGCAATATCTTTCGAATCCAAGCCGTCATTCGTGCCACAATTCGCCGTTGCTCTGCACGGCCCGCCCGAACGCTCGAATAGACTGGGTAGTAAAGAGAGGCGAACAGCACGTCCATGTTACCCGACTTCAATCTCACCGCGCCGCAGCGCCCTTCCAAGCCCACGGGTGGGGCGAAGATCTTTCTGATGAAGCGTTGGGGGGAGACTTTTGAGTGCAGCATGATGCTAGTGCCAGTGCCGCGAATGGCGAAAAACTCGATGAGGTTCGCCTGCTCCTTTACGCCGACCAGTCCCCTGGATTAGCACGGCACCCACATTTCCAAATTCTGAAGAAACCTCTTCCCCGCGTAATCCGCAAAGATGCATCGGATTGTACGAAACTGCACGAATGTGTGCCAGCGTCCTGGGGGTGCCGTCGCCCATGGTGTTCAACTGACGTACTCGGTGTCGTCGACGCACTGGCGAGAAGCCTGCGGCGAAGACGGGCGCGGCCTCTCCCGTTCTCACGAAGAGCGCGGGCCCCGCACGAGGAGAGAAAACATCGCTGCCTCTGAACGGAGCGCCCTGGCAATTCCAGTAGCTGCGACGAGTGTGTGTTTTAAGCCGCGACAGCAGCTGGAGGAGGAGGAGGAGGAGGAGGAGCAGGAGTAGGAGCAGGAGGGAGAGGACCCCTTTGACCAGTCAGAACACCAACGGGAACACGGCCGGGGCACCCCCGGGGCACCACCGCGGGCGCCCCCGCGCGGAAGCGGCGGCGCCCAGACGCCCTGACCCCCGCCGCCCAAGCGCCGCGCAGGCGCACGAGCCACATCCTGTCCAGACGACGCTCGCGCACACGGCTTCACTCACAGCGGAGGCCAGTCCACAAGAGACCTTCCACATGAAACCCAACCCTGAGATCCCAGGGCGTCCATTGACTTTCGGCGTGGGAGCGTCCCGCCGTCCACGGCAAAGCCATCGAAACTCAAGAAACCCAGGACATCCTGGAGGCAAGCAGGGTGTTTCTTGGCATGGGCCCCCACTGCATGTAGCTCCCATCGCGCTCAAGGACCACATCCCGGCAATAATCTCGAGCAGCCAGAAAAGCATCGACACAGTGTCGAGCGAGCATCGCCTCCCAGCGCCCGAGACTTAAAACCTTCAGCTTCGGTACTTTCTTGGGGATCGAACTTGTTTCTGGCGAACAAGACTAAAGTAGATTGGAACCCGCCGCCCAAGCGCCGCGCAGGCGCACGAGCCTCATCTTGTCCAGACAGAGACCCATCGACGCTCGCGCACACGGCTTCAATTATGTTGCTCCCCTCGTGCTTAAGGGCCACATCCCAGAAATAATCTCGAGCACCCAGAAAAGTAATTCGAACCAGTGTCAAACGAATATCGCCTCCCAGGGCCCGACACGTGAAGACCCTCCAGCTTCGGGACATGTTCTTGGTGCTCGTTTGTTTTGCTTCTGGTCAAGGCTAAAGTGGGTTGGATCATCACAAGGCTTCACGCGTGATCTCGGCCTGGCAGCACCTCGCACGGCAGGAACCGCGCACGACGGGAACCAGGAGACCACGAGACGCACGCTGTTCGAGCCAAGCCCGTGCTTTCCATCACGCAAGGTCCCTCGACACTCGCGCGCAACTTCACGCGGGATCACGGCCTCGCAACGCCACGCACGACAGGAGCCACGGAGCTGCGATCTCCCCCCGGGGGTGGCCTCACAGCGGCTACAGACGCCCCCAGCCTGCCAGCCTGCAATATGCACGAGCGGCGGTGACTGGGGAAGCCAGACGATACCGACACCACTGCTTTCCGGGCCAGGGCGCGGCCTGACCAGGATTTCGAGGCGAATCCAGCGGTGGCGACGAGGGGCTCCCAGGAGGCCCCCAAGAGGCGAAAACGAGGCATGGATAGCGGCATCGGCACCTTTGCCTCCCCTGAGAAGTGGCTACGGCGATGTTTTTGCTCGCTCGCAGCTCGCTGCGAGCAAGTAAATCCGAGCACCACCACGGACACGTTGTCCTGCGTGTTCAGTGCCAGGGCGGCGTTCCCCAGCGCCGCGGCACAGGCCTGGGCCCGCTCGGGCGTCCAGCGGGGCACTCCGCCGTTCCCGCCGCTCCCGAGGAAACACTCGTGAGCTATGGCGGCGGCGCGATCGTCGCTCATGACGTCCCAGAGCCCATCCGAGGCGACGAGGGCGCACAGGTGCTCTGGGCCAAGCTCGGCGACTCCAAAGGGTGTGGCTTGCAAAGGGTGTGGTTTGCAACCGGCACCCTGGGGAACATCCTGGGGGGGCGCCCAGAGGGGCGCGCGGCGCGCGGGGACCCCGATAGAGTTCTCCCGCGCCCCGAGGAGGCCCGACGAGGACGGTGTCGTGCCCCCAAGGCCCAAGGGCGCCGATCGCAAGCCACCCTCGGGCGTACCCAGAGATCAGAGGTCGTGATTTTTCCAATGCGGGGTCCCCAAGCCCGGTTTTTGACCCATTCCCCAGGACCGGTTTTTGACCCATTCCCCAGAACTGGAAATCTCGACCCATTCCCCAGGACCGGTGTTTCATCCCGAGTCGCTTTTTGACGGCCCCGGGGCCCGCCGGGGGCCCCTGGAGGCCGAACGCTGCGAAAAAAACCTCCGCCTTGGCTCTTGTCAATGCGTTGGATCTCTGGGGCAACCAGACCCTGACTCCGGCTCCGCCCTACTTTGGGGAAATTCGTAAGTAGGGCTTGGAGTTTCCGCCTTACTTTTCAGGCCCCGCTGATGCCAATTTCCGCCCTACTTTTCTGTTGCTGTTTCCGCCCTACTTATGTGGATTCCCGCCCTGCTTTATGTTGGGTGCTGAAATTTCCGCCCTACTTTTTCGGCCTCTTACAGGTGGACTTCCGATGCAATTTTAAGCTGGAAAAAAAGCCAAAGCAGGGCGGATCTGGAGTCCGGGGACCCTTCGTGGTCGCCGACAAGCGCGTGTAGCGTGACGCTCGGGGTGCACAGAATCAGGGCCTCGCCCCGGGGGAGCTTGCTGCCGTGCTGGCCGGCCGCGCGCTGGGGGGGGGGAGACGGCCACGATTCGCTGGGGCTTCGGAGGCCTGGGGAAGTTCTCCCGTTCGCCCTTGGACACTCTCGCGCCTCAGGATGCCTACCTGCCAGACCACCCCAGCCCACCCCGAAAACCCGAACGTGACCCGACTTTCGGGTTGGGGGGGGGGGGTACGGGTCCCATGGGTTTTTTCAACGTTCCCCCACCCCATCCCCGCACTGGAAATGGAGGGCAAAATGAGGCCTTCGGGTTGGGTTGGGGTGGTTTGGTGGGTGGTGACGGGATGCGTCAGGGCTGGACCTAAACGTTGTTTCTCGTTTTGCTTTCGCTCGGCTTTTCGTTTTGCTCTGCCTGTTGTCCCGTACCTCCCTGCCACCACGAAGAACAAGGCACAGCCGAAGCTCAGCAAAACAGCGCTCAGGTCCAGCCCTGGGATGCGTCCCAGCGGCTGCGTCTGGCCGAGAGCGCGTTCCAGGGGGTGCCCCCAGATGGTCACGAAGGGCCGCCAGCGTCGCGAGCTGTGCTCTGAAAACCACCAGCAAGAGGGTCCGAAGGCCTCTGGCCTCCTGGGCAGCTTCTGGAGCCTTCTTCGCAGGACACGGGCGGCTCCTCAGAAGGCCACAGGGGGCTTCTCAGAAGCCCCGCCGCCTCCTCGGAAGGGCCGCCCCCTCTAGAGGAACAAACGGCGGCATAAGCATAACTGTTCGGAGGTCCGCGCGGACCTCTAAGATTGGCGCTGGGCCCCATTCCCTGGCGCGCGGAGCGCGCCAGGGGCGGCGCCCGAGGCGCCGCCAGAGGGGCCCAGCGCCGATCCAAGAGATCCGCGAGGAGCTCCGAGCAATGATGTGCATGCCGTTTCTCCTCGAGGGCGTTTCGTCACTCGCAGCGATGGCGGGCGTTGGTGGGGGAAGGGGGGCGGGGGGCGCACGACACAGCGCCACGCCCCCCGCCGTGACAGACGGTGGTGCCGGACGCTCTGGGACGCTCTGCAGCAGCGCTGGGGACGCGCTGGGCGGGGAGGAGCGTCACGTCCTTGGGGGTGGGGGGGGGAGAGAGGGGAGCATAACCCGCGTCGTGGCCCGGAAGGTAAACAAAGACTCGATCCTTCTCTTGGGTCGGGCATGTCCTCCTACAGGCGGATTTGGGAGGACAAACTGAAAAATAGTCCAGCAATACTAAGACGTAGCCAAAACAAATAATCGAAACATTGTCCCCAGACTATTTTTGAACTACTTTTGACTATATATTCCTCCTGCAGAGGGACGTGCCCGACTTCATCCTTCTCCGATGCTGATGCGGCCGGCCCCCTCTCGCTGCCCCCCTGAGCGTGCCGCCGCGCTTGAACTGCAGGTCGCCGAACGAGCGGCTGACCATGATCGCCATGCTGCCGGCCACCACGCGCCAGCAGTCCTGGATGGAGGGCCGCTCCGAAGGGCTTAGGCGACCCGTCCTCCTCCTCCTTCTCCTCCTCCTCCTCCTCCTCCTCCTCCTCCTCCTCCTCCTCCTCCTCCTCCTCCCTCCCCCTCCCCCTTGCCCCTGCCCCTGCCCCTGCCCCTCCCCCTCCCCCCCCCCTCCCCTCCTCCTCCTCCTCCTCCTCCTCCTCCTCCGCCTCTCCTCCTCCTCCCTGGTCCTCTCCCTCTCTCCTCCTCCTCTCCTCCTCCTCCTCTCCTCCTCCTCCTCCTCCTCCTCCTCCTCTCCTCCTCCTCCTCCTCCTCCTCCTCCTCCTCCTCCTCCCCCTCCTCCTCCTCCTCCTCCTCCTCCTCCTCCTCCTTCTCCTCCTCCTGCTCCTGCTCCTGCTCCTGGTTCCTGCTCCTGCTCCTGCTGCTCCTCCTTCTTCTATTCCTTCTCGCCCTCCTCCTCCTCTCCTCCTCCTCCTCCTCCTCCTCTGGTCTTCCTCCTCCTCCCTCCTCCTCCTCCTCCTCCTCCTCCTCCTCCTCCCCCTACCCCCCCTCCAACTCCTCCTCCTCCTCCTCCTCTCCTCCTCCTCCTCCTCCCCCTCCCCCTCCTCCTCCTCCTCCTCCTCCTCCTCCTCCTCCTCTCCTCCTCCTCCTATTCCTGCTCCTCCTCCTCCTCCTCCTCCTATTCCTGCTCCTCTCCTCCTCCTCCTGCTCCTGCTCCTGCTCTCCTGCTCCGCTCCTGCTCCTGCTCCTCCTCCTCCTCCTCCTCCTCCTCCTCCCCTCCTCCTCCTCCCCTTCTCGCCCTCCCCTCCTCGGGTCGCCTAGGGCCCTGGGAGAAACCGTCCAAGGCAATATATAAGACGAAGCCAAGACGAGAACAACATCGGGTGAGGATGGGGCATGGGACGCACAGAGACATACTAAAACTATATGTGCTCCTTGGAGGCGCGCGTCCGACCCGAACATATAGTATACCCATCTTGTAATATGTCTTTTCCCGAGCGGTGTGGCCAGAAAGCGCCCGCCACGACGCGCGCGTCGCCCCTGTGTGGGGGGGTGGGGGGGGGGTGAGGGCGACGCCGCACATATCGGAGGTGAGGGAGTGAGATCGAAGTGGAACGGAGAGCCCCCTACCGGGAAATCGGTTTCGGTTTCGTGTTCGTGCGTGCCGTGCGTGCGGGCGAGGCGAAGCTGCGTGGGCGGGCGAGAAGAAAGTCTCCTCTGGCTGAGGCGCGGCCGGACCAAATGATTCCTTTCTGGGGGCCGGTGGCCTGCGGTGTCCCGCCGGTGTCCCGCCTCTGGCTGAGGCGCGGCCGGACCAAATGATTCCTTTCCGGGGGCTGGTGGACCGCGGTGTCCCGCCGGTGTCCCGTCGGTGTCCCGATGATGATGACGATGATGATGATGATGTTGATGATGATGATGTCGATGATGTTGATGTTGATGTTGATGTTGATGATGATGATGATGGTGATGATGGTGATGGTGGTGATGATGACTGTGTCCCGATGATGATGTTGATGATGATGTTGACGATGTTGATGATGATGGTGATGGTGGTGATGATGATGTCCCGATGGTGATGATGTTGATGATGACGATGTTGCTGATGATGATGGTGTCCCGATGATTATGCTGATGATGTTGATGATCATGATGATGTTGATGATGATGAGATGAAGATGAGATGATGATGATGAAGATGCTGATGGTGTCCCGATGATGATGATGATGATGATAAGGTTGATGATGATGCTGTTGATGATGATGGTGATGATGATGGTGTCCCGATGATGATGATGATGATGATGATGATGATGATGATGATGATGATGAGGTTGATGATGATGCTGTTGATGATGATGGTGGTGATGATGATGGTGTCCCGATGATGATGATGATGCTGATGATGACGATGATGGCGTCCCGATGATGATGGTGATGATGTTGATGCTGATGAGGTGATGATGATGGTTTTGATGATGGTGGCCCGATGATGGTGATGATGATGATGATGTTGATGATGATGACGATGATGATGGTGTCCCGATGATGATGATGGTGATGATGGTGACGATGATGATGGTGTCCCGATGATGACGATGATGTTGAGGATGATGTTGCTGAAGATGATGATGATGGCGTCCCGATGATGATGATGTTAATATTGTTCATGCTGATGAGATGATGCTGATGATGGTTATCCGATGATCATGATGGTGTCCCGATGATGATGTTGATGATGACGGTGACGATGATGGTGTCCCGGTGATAATGATGATGCTAATGGTGATGATGACGATGATTATGTTGATGATGATGGTGGTGAATGATGGTGTCCCGATGATGGTGATGGTGACGATGATGATGATGATGATGATGATGATGATGATGATGTTGATGACGTTGATGACGATGATGTTTTGACGATGATGATGATGATGGCGTTGATTGTGAGATCGATTGTGATATCGATAGTGAGATCGATGGTGAGACCGAATGTGAGATCGATTGTGAGATCGATAGTGAGATCGAGAGAAAGATCGATAGTGAGATCGATAGTCAGATCGATTGTGAGATCGATCGAATGAAATAGATCGAGTGAAATCGATCGAGTGAGATCGATCGAGCGAGACCGATAGTGAGATCCATAGTGAGATCGATAGTGAGACCGATCGAGTGAGACGTTGGTTCCTCCCCCCCCCGAACCTCCTTATCACCCGAAGGGTGGTCGTATAGGTAGTATAAGTATATTGGGGTGCAGCCGACTGGATGGGGCAATGAGTAAGACGAAGCCAAGACGAGAATAACATCGGGTGAGGATACAATCGGGAATCTCTCAGGTCCGGCGGCTCTGGAGGGCGTCTCGGGCGCCGCGGCCCTCTCAGAGCGCTCGAGCGTTCCGGAACGCTCTGGAACGGATTTATTGGGGGCAACGACAATGGGGGACTGGCATAGGGAGGGATGCATCGACCTGTAATCGGCGATACATCGCCGATAGAACGGCG